TCTGCAGATTGAAATGTCAACAAGTTTAGTGCTTATTTTAGCCTCGAATGTTTTTTTTCAGACTTCGAACCTCACGGCGTATTGCTGCTCTCGATCGTCCTATTCTGATTGACATGACCTCGTACTCATGCAGGCATGGCAATAAGCATTAAAATTTAATAATATTTAATAAAAGATTAAATTTATTGAAAGTCCGGCGCGCAACTTAGCCTTGTAAGTCCTCGACATTTAAGTCAAGTTAAATCCCCGCTTTTCTGTAATGATTGATGCTTGATGAAAAACCTTGTCCCAATTCAAATTTTCAAGAATTGTCCAACATATATGACTTTACAATTATATTTTAGCAATCGTTTTTCAGCTTCACTGAGAGAGAAGCACGAATTATTTCAATAAAAACATACTATAAATCTAACACCAAAAGAAAAATATCACAATGAGATCATGAAAATATCAAATAGCAATTTTACTCATAATTTGATTAAAACTCGTCACAATAATTTTGCGCTACCAGTCTGATGATAACAATTGCTTCCATTTCAATAATTGAAGTTCCGAAGCCAACAATCACTGGAATGTTCTCGCAGCGAAGGATCATCACCGAAAAATTTGTCACTTATGTTTTGTTCACAGCAGAATACTTATCTTCAATTTAAAAAGTGTTAACGTGAACTAGATTTCTTACAGCTTTCATCAGATTTGTCTGCCATTTTTGGACGCCATTTGGTAAGAAAACACTTGAATTTCTTTTTAAATCAATTGAAAGCGCAGGTCGATGGTATAAAGTTCACCTTCTTATAGTTTGGTTTTTTTCAAACCCGGAAATCTCCCGCAGCTCGATGCCGAAAGCCCAAGTATAATCGTCGGAACCTTGGTCGTTTCTTTTACGTGCAAGAGCAAGCCTTGAGTACCAACTATCGCAGTCATTGTCACAATAATCGCTCATATTTCTGAACAACTTTATATACTTCCGTGTTAAGTGCTTTATTTACGCACCACTCGTCTTATTCACTGCCGTTTGCTGCCAGAATGAGGTGATTCCCAGGTAACTCGACGTCGTCAATGATTTGATGACCTTGTTTCAATTTATGAACCAATATTTGAATTATCTACATAGACTCTTAATATTTTTAATAAATTACCCATACTACCAAAAAAGAATACATATTTTAATTAGTGTGAATCGTGTTTATAGCTTAATCTTTGAAATATTCAAACTAAAAAGCCACTGAATAATAGTTTCTTTTTTCTTTTAGGTGTGGTATTAAAAACTTAATGCTCACAGATTACCAAAGCTCCACACTGAAGAAATGAGGGGCAGAAAATCTTATTTTCTGCCTTAAAATCTCACCACCAGGAAGCAAGTTGTGGCACAGCTGTAGCCAGGCTGTGGACTAGATTTATCGATATGAACTGTATTCTCTAGTCTTTCTCTGAGCCCATTGCCAGTATATTTGTCTTGTTTGACGTAAATGCATCACCCGGAAGGCATTTGCCTCGTCACTTATCGTTTGATGGCTAACAAAATCTCAAGGAGAATCGTAAGAAAATGTTGATGCAGTTTTTGTGATTTTTATCGCAATGATCATAGGTTTTATACATCGATACCTGTAATCTTAAAAATGTATTATATTTAAAGCCCGTAATTCATTAAATGAAACTGCAAGGATTTGAATTATGCCTCTTTTGAGCGGCAAATTCTATTTGGAAGTTGACTAGGAAGAGTTAATTGGAGCCTTTTTATTATATTTTAGGTCAATTTTATTATTAACGGAACCCATAATAAGGAATGCTGGTGTATTTGTCGAATGAATATAACCCCTCAGGAGCCAATAGCAATCAACAACGCAAATTCGGCTCTAATATTTTTGTTGCATGCATTTTCTGTTATTAAAATAATCAGACCTCGGATCGAGAGACTGTCATTGCGACGCCAGTTTTCATGTTTGACATTTAATTCTATACACCCACAACTGGCAACCGTATACGCGTTCATTGGACTGCATTGCACTCGTGCTAAAAAAATCTCAGAAGCGAGTTGCCCAAAAAACATTCACGGCACAGGTGCAGCTTACGCGTTACTTCCTCACGACTCGCCATAATGCCCTGCAAACGCGCATATCTCGCGTACTAAGCGTTTTTTTCTCCCCGCCATATGGCGCTTCAGTGGTGGGTATTTTTTAGCGAGTCTCGTTCAACTGTCGAGATATTTATATTTTTCGTCTGCCATGATAACCCACTTGGCACACTCTGATTGTGAATTGCTCGACCCTCGAATTATCTGAGGCTTGTATTTATTTAACGCTTTTATGTACATTGAAGTAGCGCAGAACTGACATGCATGTGCTCCGTTGGTTTGGGCTGTACGCGAGCGACTGAAGCGCGTCTGATGGATGGGCAGTTGGGCACCGCCGAGGTGTCGCGTCGAAGAGAAACAATTCACCGCTTAATATAATAGACGTTCTTCGTGCTGATGAGAGTCTGGTCGAAAATTTGATCTTTAAACAACTTTTATTGTTCTACTTATGCTTGTTTAACGAATAAAGTATCAGGTTTTTTTCGGGCTATCTTTCACTAGTACCTCAGTCAATCAATTTGACCAATGCACTTTCAGACGCGATCAAAGGATGTAAGGAAAAACTGAGATTCACTCACGGAACAATCATGCATCTTTTAAAAATTAATGGCTAATCGATAAAATTTAAATTGGTAATGGACGTGGTATAAAAAAAAGTGTAGTTTATTCTCCATCCAACCTAACAGCGATGACGAGATGGCACTAATAAAATAACTGTTCAAATATTTTCTCCCCAGAATAAAAATAAAAGATCAGTTCTCATTGTACATAAATATTAAACGTATATTCTTAACGTATACTTAAACGCATATTTAATGTTCTTATATTAAACGTTCATAAATATTTTTTTACAAACTAAGCTCCACGTGAGTTGTGAATGGGATTAATTCAAATGAAACAAGCGTCATTATAATGACAGCGTGATGACAGGTCGAGTCATGACGTAAGGACTCATTTGTTGACAACTGAGTGAATGGTATTTTATTGTATAAATAACAAAGAAAAGCAATATCTCCATTGGGTCATAATGAAATTGACTATCGAAGTGCACGTGTTTTGCTAATCAGAGAAGCTTGTTGGCATGCTCCGCTTTGACTTAGAATCCGATTAGGTGAACACCCGTCATTACGGATCTGGTGAAGTTAAGTCGATATTTCCAACCAACGTCAGTTTTGAAATGATCCGGTCAAATAGCCAGTTTTTCGAGCTCCTGTGAACAAGTCACAAAAAGTACAAGAATCGGCGACAGGCCACGAGTCTATTTTCGTTCAGCGCGGACACAACTACACTATACTATAATATGCAGTCCATGCTATACTATACTATAATGTACTAAGTTTGAATAAAATGTAACTTTATTAAAGAAAAATGCGGTCTTGCTACTGGAATAAAAAGTTTGATAACAATTAACATTATTTTCAACTACTCATATGTTTTCAATTGAATCGACGATATATCTTAATCATAAATTGAATGGCATTAAAAAATAGTCTGGTGGCAAATTAACTGGTATTGCGAGAAAATTAACTAGAAGTCTTTTCAGTCTTTATGTTGATCCAGAAGTTATTCAAACATTATCAAGAATAAGACGAGTCGCAAACGTAATAGCTCCTACGAATGTTGAGACTTTAATCGCAAACGTAATATCTCGCTGTGGATGTTGAGACTAGTCGCTAACGTAATAGCTCGCTACGAATGTTGAGACTTTAGTCGCAATCGTAATAGCTCGCTGTGGATGTTGAGACTAGTCGCAAACGTAATAGCTCGCTACGAATGTTGAGACTTTAATCGCAAGCGTAATAGCTCGCTGTGGATGTTGAGACTAGTCGCAAACGTAATAGCTCGCTACGAATATTGAGACTTTAATCGCAAACGCAATAGCTCGCTGTGGATGTTGAGACTAGTCGCAAACGTAATATACCATTGTTTTTTTTTATAGTTGGGGTTAAGACTTGTGGCGAGAAATGCGCCCACCAGCCTGTTCTCTGTCAGAAATACCATTGGGTGTGTCTGTAGAGCACTACTAAAGCCCTGAAAATACAAGAACAAATACGACGAAATTCTTAAAATGTCGATAAGGAATCACGTAATCACCGAAATTGATAGTTTTGTTTTGCGTTTATTTTAGAGTATGACTAAATATTGTTATGGCAAATACAATTTTGTTACTAAATATTGTTATGGCAAATACAATTTTGTTAAGATTGCTCAGTGACAAAGAAGAACTTTCAGTGTGCTCCTTTTAGAAATAAATTCTTAGTTAAAACTTTTACATTTTATAGCGATTCTTGATCGCGAGAATATGCGGCTCTGTGTACTTTCTAACAAAAAATTAATATCATTTTAACAATCGTAAGTGAATGATTGTCAATAAATTATTTGTTGGATCCTATCTATAGGCACACAAACTTTCTTGTTAAATTATATTAGCGATCTCTACGGCATGATTAAATGAACGTGAAAAAATCTACGGCTTAACTTTTCCATGTTTGTTTTATATACGGCGCAGAATTTGTTTCAGTTTAGCCGGAGTTCATGACCACGTGTTTGTGGCTCACCCTAAACCTGATTTTTTGGTGGCTTTCACCATTAGTTGTCGAATAAAAATTAGGGTCTGTCAGAATTTTTCATGCTCGCAAAGTGTATTGAATATGAATTAAACTGTGCACTTGTCACTTTATCTCTGCAAATTTAATGCTAATTGAGTCGATAATCGTTTCATCTCGTGATCAACCTTAATGGGCAGTTGTAGACTGTTTTATATATCCCCACAGCAGGCACATTATAAAAATCTCTCCTAATTCCTTGCCAGAGTTCTAGGCAGTTTTCGATCCCTACAGTTGACATATTAAAAAATCTCCCGCAATTCCTTGCGAAAGTCCCAAGCAGTTGTTGGTCCATACGACTGCAGACACTGCGTGGGTTGTTCAGTGGGCGTGCAGAGGCTGCGGAGTTCTTTGCCCAGCAGCGTCGGTGCAGGGCTGTTGAGGGGGGCTGTACGGTTCGAATTCTGGGACGGTCAAAACCGGCGAGAACTTCTGTAATTGTAAATGATAAATAATGCCTTTACCTGAAGCCAACTCATCAAAATTGTGCTTATTCATAGCGATTATAATGGAATTTATTCTCATCTGTGATACACGAGACATTTCGTTGGCACCTGATGTTTGGTAATACTGAAAAAAATGTAAAGGAACAAGAGAGACATTGTTCGCAACTGACTTTAATTAAACGAATCCGGAAATTATTGGAATAGAACTTGATATTTAGTTACAGTTATTCTTATTTAAAATAATCAATTTCCAAGCAAATCATTAATGAACACTTGATCAAATGTTTGAGTCTCACCGCAAGTTGCACTTGAGCTCCGTCGGAACAGGTAAGCTGAACGTAGTGCGACGTCTGCAGCAGCCGCAGTTTGTCCTGCCACTTCCCGCTGATCCAAAAGTTCCTCTCATTCAGGTGATCATACAGCGTCAGATTCTGCAGACCTGGAAGGCAGGCTCCTTGTTTAGTTGGACGTGAAACTGAACCACAATTTCATCTTGTTTTGGCAATATTACAACGTTGGCTCCTTGATCTTGTGAAAGTGTACCGATTATGTCATACAACGGCTTCGTTCTTACCGTAAGGCTCCTTGATCTTGTGAAAGTGTACCGATTATATTATACAACGGCTTCGTTCTTACCGTAAGGCTCCTTGATCTTGATGGCCCGATAGCGATTGAAGTCCAACCCAGAATTTTCTCCTATTGCTTTCTCAGCTCCTAGCTTCATAAATTCAAACCGTTCTTCATCGAGAGCGTCGAGAGCCTTCTTCCTGAAATTGTGCAATTGAAATTTTAACATATGTTCCTCCCGCAGAATAAATTGTCAGCAAAAACCAATACTAGTTAATTCCCTTTCTTATCCATTAATATATATGCTTTATAGAAGAGTTTAAAATATTTCAAGTGACTATTTTTCTTTCTTCTGAGTTCTAGACAGGCAAAAATTTATGTGCGACAAAAATGTATAATTTCTTTACTTTCCTTATACGAATAGATTTAATAACACACTCGGCGATTTGTTCCGCTTTGTTCATGATGATGGCATATCGAGCTTTGATTTTATAATTCAATTTGCCTTTGAATTACTTGAGGAGTTCGGACATCTCTTCGGCCAATTTTCTACACATCAATTTATTTCAGTATTCATTACATTTATTTTAGCTATTACGTGATTGGACTCGGTGAACGTTCCTCATAGAGGCTGGTCACCCCAACACTTTTTAGTATTTCTTCGAAGAATGGCACGGAGGAACATGTACTTAGCGCCATGGACGGGTAGTAGAGCAGGGATATTGAACACATTTCATCCTGGGTCCGGAGTCCGCCCTATTAGTAAGATTTCAGATTAAATGTTGTTTCTTGTTGTAATGTCTACTGAGGAAGACAATGAATATTTTATTGTTATCATCATTATCTGAATCCGTGAAAATATGTAGTTTTGGAAAGAGGGAAAAATTTCCAGTTTAGTTGCAAAACTGAAGTTATGAACTGGAACACTATGGGTAATGGATTGAAATACTTTTTACAGCATAGTAACAAAACAGAAATTACATTAAAGGAGATGGCAGCTTCTTTGTCACTGATGGTTTGGAAAATTTAACTAATACCAACTTTTTCTCGTGTTATTTTCTTACGAATGTGGGATGAATGCGTCCAGAGGAGTTGTAGGAACAGACGGTTGTAAGATGGTCGCCAGGCAGTATAGTCACTTCTTGCTTCAGTTGATGAAACTGTTGGTACTTGAAGCTGTAAGCATTATCTGCACGTAAAAATATCAACGATTTGAATATTTTGGAATAGAGAAAGACGGTTTGCATAATCACTCACAAGATCCACAATGATTGGCTCGTTATGTACTATGGAGTGTCAATTGTGTTCGGCAACCGTTATTTCAGGGATGGGGATGATTCGTCATATATTGATAGATGGATTTTAACTGGCCTTGAAATACAAAATAAAAACAATCAACTACCGGAAAGTTTAGTCTTTTAAGTAACTTTTTGCTTTAGCGGTGTGAAGTCTCGAACTCTCACCTGAAAAGATGGGTGGCAATTCAGTGCCGTTGCGGATGTGTAAGAGGGCGATGGCCCGACCTAGCAGGTGCGAGTGCAGGAAGCCGGCGACCACGTTGATCCCGGTGGGAGGGATGGTCTACAGGAGTGACCAAAGATCAGTTACTACAAATTATAATTAGTTAATAAACTTGAGAACTGAACCACTAGATCCTCGCGGTCAAGTTATCATTAGTGTCTGATTCTGCAGATCTGAAAGACATGTACGCTGATAGGCATGCACCAGGTTGAGTTCTTTTGAGTTGAATTTTTGATTAGTTATAATTTTCTGCCAAAAATTTTCTGCTATAAATATCAAATCCATGCGGTGACCGCAACTTTTTGGAACAAAAATAAATTGTGATTGTGGAAACGACTATGTAAGGAATATCCCCGATGCAAGTTTATGCGCCTACACGGTAGAGAAAGGTTCGTTGACTAAGGTCGTGAAGGATTAGTAAGACACATCTGTCAAGATAACATATCTTGATATACGGGGTGGTAATACAAGAGGTACGATACAGTGGTATAAGCTACGGCGTCGACCGTAAGGCCGTAAAACTCAACCGCGAGCTACATCGCGGAGCGCGTTTCAACTACTGCGAGCGAGGGGGGGGGGGGCATTACTAAGGTTCCCAGAACATTTATAGACATCGTACCACCGTTCACCGGATTCTTGTCCTCTTAACACATGTGCTGATTAATCTGCCGACTAAGCGTCCAAGGCAAGCTCTCAGTGACACCGTGGACTCATAGCTAACTAAGTCTGCTTGTAAACAAAAACAAACACATGAGGATTTGCTTCCACATGCTACTCTCAGACAAAAACGTTTTCGTTAGAAAATAAAGCATTTTCTTCAAGAATTATTACGTGTACAAATGACTCATCTGACCGCTCTGGTGCACTCGGAGCTGCAATGTCCATACGCTGGCCAGGTCGGGGCTAGAGGCGGTATCAGGAGCTCGGCCCCCACGGCGTGGGAGACATCCAGGAGGGACGCATCGTATTTTCGGAGCTTGGGAGTGTAGAAAAGTCGGAGGCCGCTGTTGTCCCTAGTGCCTGGTTAGTGAAACTATGCTTGTTATTGTTGCTTCGATGCAATTCCAAGTGCTGGGATATTAATTTTCCTATGGATGCATGAAATTTATTTATTTAATTTAGCTGATTTTTACATTCACTATTTATGAAGTTTCTAATTTTTTTAAATTATTTGTTTAAATTTTTTGCAATTCTTATTTGTGCTAAAGGTTGTAGAGTAAATGAGGCCTGATATATGGTTATAAAATGTCTGAAAACATTTTCTGCTTGATTTTTGAGTGCCATCAATTAGTCATGTTTAAACATTCACCATTAATTTTTGCCTGATTTTCGTAATGAATTTCCATCATGAAGTAGTCGGCTCCGCCCCATTTTTCTCCCAGTCTTCCGCCGACGTGAGCAGGAAGGCTTTGAGCTGCTCGATGAAAAAAAAATTATTTATAAAAAATTGACATATTTCGATGACATTTTAGTTCTGTAAAAAAAGAATATATAATCATTGTCAGGTTCAAACTCATAATTTTTCATTTACCTGATTTTTTAGTTCAGTTTAAACCCCCATTCATTAATACCCCGAAACGGTACTGGTAAAACAAATCTTAATTATTACATAAGACCAACTTTCTGCTCCTACTGCCCACGCAACAATCGGTCTTGCACAATTGTTAAAGAGAGACGGCATTCTGTTAGTGTAGCATCGAGTTCCTTGTAGCTCGACGTAGCGCTCGAACACGCGGGAGCTGTTCGCCACGAAACATTCGTAGAGGATCATGTGATGAATGAGATCTTTGTGGGACTCCGGACTGAAGATCGGTTCTGCCTGAAATTTTAATGAAATAACAAACTTTTTATTCCATAATTAAATACACATGCATATACCTTTAACTGAGTGACAGATGATAGATAGACTTGAGCTGTATATTTTATAACTACAATCAATGATAGATTCCATTTATAATATTGAGTCTCGTAAATAATTTCATAATTGAAGATCACTGTTAGAGATAAAACTATAGAGAGCACATGCAGTTCTCATAAATACGTGATTTTTGTTGCATTTAAAGTCATTGTATAAACTTTTACTTTCTGTAACATACTTTTATGTAGAAAATCTGTTAGGATCTTGTACATGCACTATATACTCACCCCAATATAGTGATGCTTTTCGGTCGTACCGGGGAATTTTTTAATTGTGCACCAGTACGTTGACGGTACTTGTGATGGCACTAGAAACTAAAAAGTAAGCAGGTCTTAATTGCTAATTAGTGTCATTTTAAGTTTCTAATTTATCTACTTCAGCTGACACGTTTAAGGTCATCGGCTTACTTGTCTATGGTTGACACTAGATACACAATTATTCTTACATTGGAATATTTTCAAGTATTTTAAAGTTCGTTTGAACGTTTAGTTAAAGCCCGGCGTAAAGTTGGCTGTGATTGATGATATGGGTGCAAATTTGATCAGGTTAATTCTGGATTTAATCAGGTTAATTCGTGCCGATTTTAGAAGTCGATTTATAGGCTAGTTAAACTAGTTAAACTCAGAGCTCGTGCTTTATATATTCATTTCAATATGGTGGAGACGAAAAATAACCAAAGTTACTGCTTCCAATAATATCTACATTTTTATCTTATCCTATTTCACTCACATTATTTACTTGAACATCCCAGTGTTTGACGTCCTCAGTTTTGAGTGGAGCTTCCATCCTGGGTTCCTGCAGGTACAAGCTCCTGACGCCTCTGTAGTCGTGGTGCTGGAGATTCGACAGGTTCACGGGCCTCTCTTGGTCGTACGCAAATATCACCTTCACCGTATCAGACTTTGCTCGGGAAAAATAAAGAATGAATATTTTAATATATGTGCTCGTAAGATGGTAATAGAAAGGCACTTTGATCTAAAATCATAGAATAACTAAAGCCTACTACTGCTGATTGATTAATCGTAAATATTTTGGTGGCAAAATTGAATTTAAACCACTGGAAAGACTACATAATCATAAGTATTAATCAATGACCTTAAATGAACTATTATGATTATAACCGAAAGCGGTTCTTAGAAAGATTTAAATTCGACTACAGGCCAATGCCCTCTGCAGTAATTAGATTATGCGACTGCCAAGCCTCTTATGCAATCAAACTTGAAAATAAAGTAAGTTTCCAAGTCCGTTTAATGTTTTACACTTAGGCTACAAATAAATATTCAAAAGTAGCTGACAGATAGCGCCATGTCGTGGCTGCTGTCGCAGGTGACCCAGGGACGTCTGAAGCGCAGCGTCGTGTGCGTGTCGTTGCGGCGGCCCTCCATCAGGACCATGTCCTGTGAGGGATCCTCTACTGGCGGGCTGTTGCCCACGCCGTGCATGTCCTGTAGGATATGCCATGTTATAACAAATAGGATATGCAATGTAGGATATGCAATGTAGGATATGCAATGTAGGATATGCAATGTAGGATATGCCATGTTATAACAAATACCTACACCAAGATTAGATAATAACTTAATAAGATTTCTTGCGATGGACACCAAGATTATATGATATGATTTGTCTCGATTGCGACCGGGTGAAGCGAGTCACTATTTGAACAAGTTTGGTTGTCAAAAACTGATAATTCGGCTGGGGATACAACAACAATGATCCACCACACAGTGATTATCTGAGATCTCAGTTCATCGTCCCCACCAAAATGCAAGCTTCTCTATGCTAACGTTACTATTTGTTAGATTGAAATTTGATTATTCTGAATGACGATGGTTTTCTTATTGTTTCCATGATAAATTGTTATAGGTTACACTGCACTAGAAATTTCACTTAATAGATTATGTTGTGAATTGGGTTTAAAAATAATGTAAATCCGGTAGTATATGAGGCAAAATATACGGCATGTGCCAGAGCTTGTTTTCATTCAAAATTCGAACTATTTCTTGCAACATAAGACTGCTTTTAAACTATTACACGTGGTAACTACACCTGCCTGCTGAAGGATGCTTTATTATTTCAAAACTTTCGATTTCTATCCTTTCGAATAACCTGATCGTTTTGAATAAAATCAATGTAAACTAAATCGATAGGCGATTTTTCAAGCATGTCGAACAATACGGCTTTATCGGTTAATGAATATTTTTTCTCAGCACAAATCTTTCACTCATAAATACGAGAAATGAGATTTGGATAACATTATTTATCCTACGTAAAATATCACTCATAAATAAAAGTTTACGTCGGCTTACATGCAAGTGAGCTTCGCCGCTGTCGTCGACCCAGCCCAGGATAATGTCGGCGCCCTGCATGCCCCCCGAGGGGGAGAAGCCCAGCCCCGCGTAGCCGAGGGTGGCCACCTGTGGAGATATCGAAAGCTAAAAAGGATATTTCATAATTCCTTACTTTTTATCATTTATAATAAATCCCTCTTATTCCTCATTTCTTGTGTACAATCTATTGTTAATATGGGTTATAACTTATAAAGCTCTCCTGCTGGGTCTTGAAAAGTAAGTCGATACATACTACAAGATTTCATCGGCATTATATCGATAAGGTTAAACTGGCTCATTCCTCGAGTTTGGTGGAGTGATAGCATAGTCGGGTTGGCTTATTTTGAATTGCTTAATTTAAAAACGACTGAACCTACTACATACCTGCAGTTTTTACCATTACTGCACAGTTGTTAACTCATTTGGCTACTTTGGTAAATATCAAGCTTTGTTTAGGAAAATTGTCGTTTAATTGCCTGATTCAGTACCGACGAAAACCACACATTTGAAATTCCTACCATTATAGGTAGTCAAGACAGCTCATTTCACGAGTTTTGTAGAATTCTGACTTCATTTGAAGCTTTTAACGGTTAATCGCCAAATTCAGAAACTACTGAAGTCAAACATTGACGTTTTTTACAATTATTTTACGTTTGTAAAAATTGCTAACTTCTGAATTAGTAATAAGCTATTTCATATGGCGCAGTTATCGTTCAGTCGGTTTAGTCGTTCCTTAATTACCTAATTTAAAAACGACTCTACTTACAAACCACCAATGTAAACGGTATACCATCACTGCGCTCACTGTCCCCTCACAATTAATCACACCTGTATTTCGAAGGTCACATGCTCGGTCTCAGCTGTCCACGCCATGAAGAACTTTCCTTGGTCGTCGAGTTGCGCCGCGTTCCTGATGACGTCACCGGCGCTCAGGCCCATGGACGCTCCCAGCAGCAGCGACAAAACCGCGGCAAACATCGCGCCACGAGTCGTCATGCTCGCTGATCGATAATTTTTGGAGCTCTTTGGCACTAACAATATTTTGTATCTCTGACTATATTCTCGAGTTTGTGGAAATTATGAAGTTTTTTAGCACCTAATACGATGCGTTCAGTTTCTTCATGTGTCAATTTTACATTTTAATTTTTAAAATAAAATTGGAACTAAGCTTCATTGAGGGTTATTCCATGCATCTACTTCCAAAATAAATGCTATCAAAATTTTTAATTAAAATAAATTCTATTTTAAAACACTTTTGTTAAATTTTTTGGGCTAATTCACCTCGGCACTTTATTTGAAACTTAAAATTCAGTACAGTGCTTCTTTTGCCGCTAAAATACCTCTTTTTCATAGGATTGCAAATTAAATGTAAGATGAACAATGGTTCACATCGGTAATATTATTATCTGATTAAATAAGATAACTCTTGTACTGATTTTTAGAGCTTAAACAGCTTGCGTTCTGCTTCACGTCGCTGCGGCCTAGCGACTAGTGCACGTTCGGTCAGCCGTGGATGTCCGCGGATATGGACTAGAAATATATTAGTATTAGTTTGTTGGCAAGTATAGATACCTAGTGCGAGCAGGAAAACAATCGACGCGAATCATTTAATACCTAAATAGTTATAAGTATTATCAGTTGCTGCTGCACGGCGTTATTGTTCACAGCTGGGTTCATCGCTATACATGGTGCAGTTACAAGCAACTCTGTAACACTAGAGACAAGATTAGCAATTTCCTGTTGAACGCTCGGTCTTTACGCTTATCGCTTCATATTGAGATATGTTGAACAAAATTATGAATTGCCGAAGAACATGACGATTAATATCGTGAATCTAACGATGAACTGTAAAATTCGAGCAAGAAATGTTCTGCTGTATCACTAGATGCATCATTTGAGATATAATAAGCAGTAATTATATTTTGATCGAGCTGATGCTACTGATGACATCTTCAGTAGCGCTCATAAAATATGGAATGGAAAAATCGTTGACACTACTAATTTAATGACCTGCAAAGTGATGAATGAATTGTAATGAAAATTTAACGAAAATAATTATTATTCAGAATGTGTAAATTATACTCAGAGTAACAAGAAATAAATAATAGTTTTAAATAAATTCGGCACCTGAAGAGACGGAGTACTTTATTGCTGAATAAATATAAATACAGAATTACTCAATTAAAGAAGGAACAATTGTGTGATAAATTAGTTGGACAAATTTTCATGTATCATTACAAACCATTCCAGGCAATACGGCAATGTTGAGAAAACTCTTTTTATAAGTCATTATTGCCAACGTCAAGCCAAATGAATAATTTTCGCAGATTACTTATATTGTCCGTAGGCTTAAAAAGTGTCGTAAATACACCGTGCACTGAGTATAAATGGAACGTTAGTTGCCAGAACTGGTGAACCATGAATAATTCTCAAGAAGGTCGCGAGAGGACAGACTGCTTGCAAACTGCTTCACCGATTAACAATTTACGATGACTAGGAATCAACTCTTAAAATAAATCCGTCTCGCGACATCCCCCTCCCCATTTGTTAGCCAGGTTAATGCACGTTAAATGCCTAGAAGCTATTTAGGTTACGGTTTTTTGATGAAGGAATTACTGTGATGACATGGCCTGCCAACACCCCAACCCGAACCTGAAAGGAAATGTGAAGAAAATAACTGGTGATGGAACTCGGAGAAAAACCCATTCAATAAAAAGCGTTTATTTCATTTCGTAATAGAAGAATTGGAGTGGATAATTGCATAAGGCATTAACATTTGTTAATATTATATTTATACAATCGAATCTGCACAAAATCTCGCAACTTCGTGTAGGATTCAAGTATTATGACATTTTCTCCAATGCTCGAATTTTCATTGCAATTCATGCCTCAATTTATAAATAATAAAGTGAATATGGAACGAAATTTGAGTAGAAAGGAATCGATCATTCAGTGTCTAATGGACGATCCTGACACAAATTTTACGACCAAATTTCTCGGAAATATAATAATTTTAACAAAAAAAAAAAAAACACAGTTTTCATTCAGTGTTGCGGGCTTGTTCTCATATATAAAACTTCAAACAGTATTAGATTGGTTAAAATAACAGGTTTTTACCGAGTAGAAGTATTTTTCTAGACGGAAATTTGAAGAGAAATATACAATTGTTGACAAAAAAGAAAAGTAAAGTTTCATCTGATTACGAGTGTTTCCTTACAAGACGTGATTAGTAACGACAATTAATTGCATGAAGCAAAATTTCGTCATCGAAGCACGGATGAATTTGATTTAATAGTTGCTATACAGTAGTGGTCCTAGAAATTGTTGATAACAATTAACGTGCGTTGTATAACCAAGACTGAATTAGGGGGTGCACCTGCTTCCATGTGAAGCAGGTGCATTTCCAATTAATAAAAAGTGACTGTGCACTGCAGCTGATACTTATATTATTTACTTATCTTTCATATTGCATCGTTTTGTCTTCTATATCCTAACAAAAATAATCTTTGTCTATTTAATGAATAGTTTCAAATTATCTACTTGTTTTAAAGGTTAAGGCCTCACACCTGCGGCCGACGAAAATATTTGTCGGAATATTTCAGATGTAAGATTTAGGCATTTAGGACTCCGGTTATCGCCGTACTTCCCCCGTGAAGTGCGGTACTTCCCCTGGAATTCTCCCTTGAGTTTCAGACATTTGTAATCTATTCTTTTCAACGGCAGTTCAACTTATTATCATCCGGTTGCGATATCACTGAAGATTGTTTTTTATACTCCAAGTTTGATCGATATTTACTCACTACTTTCTAGTCATTTAAAATGAATAATCATTTTCATTCAAAGTAAGAAACGATATATTTAAAGACCACACTTCTAAAAAGGCCGGTGTCTCCGATGATGCACATGTACAATGCATGTCATTTGTTTTTAAAAAAATTATTTTATTTTATTTTATTCGGTGATTCTATCAATTGATTCATGTATTGTCTCCGACTTTACGCCAGTGTGCAAATTTTCAGATCGATGGGACAGGTAGAAGCGTGTTAAATATCGATTATAAAATTGTAGCAGACAGACAAACAACTTGAAGTGAAGTTAAATAGAAGTGTGGTAAAATCAAGAATTTCAATATCCCTAATAGAGCGAAATCTATTTTGCTATTGTTGTTCTATGGATAGCATTTAATATTTAGGAAGCATTTAAACGGAACGGAACGAACTGAAGCATTTAATATTTAGATGTTTCTGCTTATTCGTGATGAGTTATTTATTATAATAATATAATAGCGGTTTCAGCGTTTATTAGGCCGTAGGCTTGTCGCCGATTCTTAACATCGCAGAACATTCACAGCATTTTGCGGTCTCGAACTCGCAACTCTCTGCTACAATTCTGCTGTGCTTAACCGCCCGGCCTCCTTTCTGATTCTGACCAGAAACTGGCGCACAGAGCTGGGATCGAACCCGCGCCTCTCTGCGCCAATCTTGGTACTCTGAACTGTAACCACTGGGCCACCCTGCCCACGTCTTGCTTACGTTCATATTATTGCTGTTGGAAAGTTGAAATTTGTCGTTTCTTAATCTTGATGCTTTACGATTTAACAAATCATAAATCTTCTAATCTTTGCGACTTTTGTTTAGTGAGCTTTTTCCAAAATTGTATAGCATTTTAGTATAATTTTACAACACGAGTAAGTCTAACATATACAGGAGAACTGAGTTTTTCCTGCTAATTGATAGATGCTTTAACGTTTAAAGCGGTTGTCGGCTTATGGTCGCGTCTGGTCTTTAGATGTACAGATAACTTATGTCGTTCGCCGTGTGATTGCCGTCAAAGCCTTGAACAAAACATCCCTCGCAGCACGTTATTCTCTTCATCAGTCCGACGGATTCCTAGCGCAAAACAAAGCTATGTCCTGTGCCTGCCGCAACAATATCCATGTTGTTGGTCATGCTCTTATCCTATCAGCAAACAATATCCTAGTTACTGTTCGAATTTATATTTTTTTGCACTAATTACAATAGCTCATTCAGCAGGAGACATGTGAAATAAACCTAAATAAAAATTAAGGGCGGCGCATCGATGAATAGCCAGATCTGCCAAAAAATCGACTATAAAACACCAATAATTTGAAAGGGTGGCAAGTAGAGGTGGCAGACGTCGATGATTTATATTGATTATAATCATCGATGGCGCATTGCAGGCAAATCTCTTGTAAGCCACCGATAACCGCTTGTCCAAATTACGCACTGCGCGAAGGAATTTGCCACTGTGATTTATCCAATGTAGAGAGGTGTTATCGGGTTGCGGGTCATTTGAGACCAAGACGGAACTATGACTTCGTTCTGTGTGCTTGGCGTGTGAGATATTGATTAAAGTAACTTTAGCGTGAATTCGGTAGGTATATATAATATATACGAGTAAAACTGACAGACTAGAAGCAAGGTGTTCACAAATTGTCCGAGGAACAGTGGAAAATTTGTTACAAATAATAAAGTTCCCCATAAGATGATGGCAAATCCAATTTTACAAGTTCACTTGAAATATTGCGTAAATTTATTGCGAGTTTTGCGTACGCTCCAACTTGCTGTGTTTGAAATATTACGGCGAATTGAGACTATTTTATTATATCATTAAGTTTAAATTGTATGTATCGATTAAGTGTGTTTTTAATATTTAAAATAATCTAATTCAAGTTCCTGCATTTATCCAAATCCACGTTGACGTAGTCGACAGCTGCTTGTCACCTCTAAAGCACAGCGAGCGAGTCGAAAAAGTACTACACGTTGACACCAGTTGGGTTGTCGCGCGTCGGCGTTGAGCTTTTTCCTACTAATCTTTAACATTTCCTGCTTGAAATATATGCTCTCCGGGTAATTTTTTTGTCAAAAAAGTATCTTCTTTGCGCAGAGGGATACGAGTAAAAAATTCGGTTTTTAGTCCTTTACTTTTATAGCAAAATTTCTTTATATCTGGGAAATTTCCTTAGACCGTTCAATAATTATTTTTCGTGCAAGTCGACGTTTTTAATCAGGTAGGGGTCGGTATCTTTCCTACGCAAAATATTAAAGATTAGGCTAGATAAAAGTAGTCGCGCGAAATGATGAAGTTATTTCACTCCTAACATTTCAAAATCATCGAATGGTATCAATTCCACATTTCACGCAGGAATAATCCTGGTGAAAATATTAGTAGCTCGGCGAAATTGCTGTAATGTTCACATTATGAAACTTCGATACTTATCATGTATTTTGCCATAGCTTTCACTCTGCGCTGAACCATCGTTCATTATGGATAAACGAAGTCTCTTATCTCGGCCGTTTACTCGAACATAGCAGCATATACAAATAAAATTGTTAATGGAACCATCTAATCATTACGATGGTAGCACTAACTTCTGTCATTTTATGAAATTAATACCTGAAATACTTCAATTAAATATTTTAAAATAGTTCCAGTGTCAAATATGTCCGATGGGTCAA